GGTAGAGGATTGGTCGGTATGATGTCAGCTCACTTTCAGGTAAGGGATTGGTCGGTACAATGCAGCTCACTTCAAGATAAGAGATTAGTCAGTATATAGAGTCAGCTCCAAGTATGGGATTGGTCGATACAATGTCAGCTCACTTCCAGGTAAGGGATTGGTCTGTACAATGTCAGCTCACTTCCAGGTGAGGGTTTGGTCGGTACAATATTAGCTCACTTTCAGGTAAGGGATTGGTCAGTACAATGTCAGCTCACTTCAAGATAAGAGATTAGTCAATACAGAGTCAGCTCCAATTAAGGGATTGGTCGGTACATTGTCAGCTCACTTCCAGATAGGGGATTGGTCGGTACAATGTCAGCTCACTTCAAGGTAAGGGATTGGTCGGTACAATATCAGCTCACTTCCAGTTATAAGGGATTAGTCGGTACAATGTCAGATAACTTTCAAGTAAGGGATTGGTCTGTACAATGTCAGCTCATCTCCAGGTAAAGGATTGATCGGGACAATGGCAGTTAGCTTTGTGAACTTAATTCCATGTAAAATTGTGTTCGTACTTTATCAGGCCAATTAAGGTAAATGATTGATCTATACTTTGTCCTTCAACCTCTAAAATATCATTCAGTATTTTATCAGCTCTATTCCTGATCAATTCATTTAAAAATTTCAAATTTCAAATTTCCTTTCTTTTGCATCGTAAGGTATCAGAAAAAGATCGATGGACATACACTTCAAACGAAATAGATCACGGAGGTACATATTTCATCTTTTCAGATTTCGTATTCTAAATGATTAAAATAAGTTTCAAGTTATTTCTCAATTTATGCATGCTTGTAAAATATTTCATGTAAATACCGGTAAAATATTTCAGGACATCTGTTACATACTTACGAGGGGCAGAAGACGTCTGAAGGTCACATGTTATCCAGATACCACTATAGCGATGACAATGTCATTCGTACACACAAAAAGGTCAGGTGGAAAAACACACAGTACACGGCTTTCGGCGATACGTTTCTCTGAAATACTGAAGCATATTTAAGTGATTTTATTCTGTAATTTTTCTTTTGTCATAAACAATGCATTATTTGATATTTTTTGGTTATTTGTGTGATTATCTAGGTCCTGCATTACAACAATAACGGCATGATACACAGAATCCATCTGGTGGACAACATAACAACATACGACACAAAAGATTCTAGATTCCAGTAAAGTGTCTCTCTTTCCTTTTGTCTTTTCTCTCTCTCCTCTCTCTCAATTTTTACGCTACTTCTTCGAAATGATTGTATGGGCAACTACTGGAAGTATAATATACCATAGCAAAGTATAGGGAAAGGGAGTAATTTATGGGAGTAAGAGGTACAAAAGGTAGAAATAACGAACGGTGATCGATCTCAAAATAACTATAAACAATACAAATATGTGAAAAGAACATGAACAAGAAGTCAGGAGCCCAGTAGTGTCATAAAAGCAATAATTTGTAGTCGATATTATTATTTAGAAGAAATAATACAAATTAAAATGGTAAACTGATATAGTATGTCACCTTTGTTGAAGGGCTAACTATAAGATGTCTTTGAAATATTTTTCAGTAATGGGTTGCATGACAATGGAGCTATAAAGATCTACTCATCAGGAGGTTTGTATAATAACAATTCTACACGTACTTATAGGTACACCTCGTTAACTAAAAATAAGGTTCTGATATTTAATTAAAAGTATTGATTAGTTTATTTACAATGACCAACCAACAATTGTTTTCCAGAATTTCCTACCATCCAAACAATAGGAGAGACGCATGTCACATTTCAGGAGAAAAAGTAAATTAAAAACAGTGGTCTTACCACTTATTAAGAAAGAAAAATAACTATGATATAAACAAAAATCAATTTTATAATTTTCATTTCGTATACAAATAAACAAAAATCTTCAAGTGACTTTATTTTGTTATGTAGGAAATATAAAGAAGACGGGGTACAAGGTGTGATAGCAGCCTTAGTGAAGGACATCTTAACAGTTATAAAGGTCAGCTATCAAATTGAATTTATCCACTCAAAACATACAGGAGTGTTGGGTCAACTTGTATCATTTTCATAAATATTTTATTTTTAGAGACCAGAAAAACCTCTAGAGTTGAAGACGATAGAAAAGAACATAGATGCTATGATAGAATGCATACATAGATACGACGACAAAAGTAAGTAAATCTTTACATCTTCGATGATGTATCTCCCCGACTTTCCGTGTACGCATTGCAGTAGTGTTTTTGCCTTATATCGAAGTCTAAGAATTTTTTTTGTTCTTTCTATGGACAAGTTTTACGCTTTAAAAATTGTTGTATCAGGGAACCTGGTTTTGTCCATTGTGATTGAAATTTGAACTTGAAAAGGTTTTTTAAAATGGCTTAAAGGATAATCAAACCATCTGTTAACATTGCTTACTTTATGATGTTTCACCACAAATGTTTACAAATTGAAAACATAATGTGAAACCCTTTGTATTCTGTTCTTTCAGCTGCCGTGGGAAGAACTGAATGTGTCAAGCAGCTTCAGGAGAATGTTACCCGTCTGATTGACTCAGACTTGATAGCTTTAGCTGAAAAATTCCTCCTTAAAAATGAGTGTGATAGAAATTATACAAGATGCACTGACGAGCGCCATCTGATGATAGATGTTATAGCACGTGTCGGAAGTGACGTGGCACAACAGATTGTCATAAGACATGTTCTCAATAACAGCGCTGCTAGTGATGAGGAGATGCGCCATGCTCTCATTCATTCCATAAGTTTTCAAAATCCAGTTTATGTAGGTTTCCTATATAAGGCATCCGATTTCTTTTTACAAAACTAGCAGATTATTCATTATCTAACGTATTCATAGTGATAAAAAAGATAAATGTGTTTGCTGTGTTTCTTATTTTTTCGATCACATTTTGTCCGCCGTCCGTCCGTCTATTCACAATAGTATACAAAGCATCCTTGGGTAAAGGGGAATTTAAATTGTTTCAAGTCCCCTCACGATAATCAAGAAAAGACAAAAATAGGGTGGGGTCATTAAAAAATCTTTTTCAAGAACCACTGGGCCAGAAAAGCTGAAACTTATGTGGAAGCATCCTGGGGTAGTGTATCCAAAATACAAAAAAGTTGATTTAAATGCGTCAATAATAGCAGAGTGCATTCTAATATATTTCAGGAACTCATCACTGCAGTAAATGCATTATGCTTTTCAAGGAATTTAAAGCTAGGTAACTTGAAGTCTGACATTGTTTTATTTTAAAAAGTTAAGTTCATTTATAAATTTTATTCTAATGTAAATCATTGTTTTTAATATTAATATTCTATTGTAAAATCATTGTTTTAACATATATTCAGAGCCTAGTTTTGTCAGTGACACACAAAGGCGTGCATGCCTTACTCTTGGTGCCATTGTGAAAAACCTTCGTCAGAATGGAAACGCTTCGTTGGCTTTACAGCTTGTACATAAGTTGGAGGAAGCTTTAGGGCATCATAATGAAAGTAATATTAAAAAAAAGTGTGATTTAATAATATTCATTCTCCAAATTAAGTAAACTTGTCTTCAATAATTCATGTTGTAAAATACAGTTTCAGGCCTAATCGATTCTTGTCTAATAGAAATTATTTTAAAATAACACAGCTGAATTTCAAGACCTGTACAAGCCCAGGAACCGCCGATCTGCAGAGGAACCACACACAAAAGAAAACAACCACTTACGAAAGAAGAGAATGCTGGTCCATGCTCTAGGTAATGCAGGTCATCCCAGTTCTGTCCAGCACATAGTGTCGTACATGGAAGCTAACAAAGCCACACCGTCATTGAGGAGAGCAGCCGCTTATGCCCTCAGACATTTTTCTTGTAATGAGGTAAACTGTAACTTATTAATAAAGTCAACTGTAAATAAAAAATAAACATTTTAACTTAGTTAATTAGAAACACATCTCTTGTTTTAATTTTTAGAGCGCCAATGCTTTACTGAAGTCGGCTGTGAACGATCTGGAGAATATAGTGAAACAGGCATCATATGAAGTTTATTCTTCTCACCCTGCCGGAAAATCTTTCACTCACGAACAAGAAAATATCATTCTAGCGTAAATGCCCTTTCTGTTATTCGCTTTAAATTTGAAAAAAAAATACACTCTCTGTAAACAATGTAAAAAACATCAAATATATATAATGCAGGGCCCGGTACTCCTATCCCGTTGTTACGCGGGTCAGACGAGGAACTTTTGCAGACATCCTGAAAGCTCTGAGCTTTGAACTTGTCCTTCCAAAGGTCGACTGGAAGAAGATCATCGGAAGCAATAAGATTGGGGCATCGTTTGGAATCTTTATGGAAAACTACATCAAACTTAAATTAGGTTTCTGAAAATTTGCCTTCGAATTAGCTACATAATGAAATATATGTGTAAAGAATATAATATTGATGTTAATTTGTTTTTTCTTTTTCAGCCCCCTTTAGCGGTTTATTTGACTTAAAAGTTCACGACGAAGCTTGGGCTACTGCAAATTTGGGATTGATCAATCAATTCATAGACATCTTCAGAGTGAAAGTCTGCTACCAAATAAACTTTCACTACGACTTAAATATTCTAAAGGTAAAATTTTCATATGTTATTAAAATGCATAATTCATAAATACGTAGAAAATCTTAATTTTAAAATAATGCATAACAGGGTGTTTTAGTAAATCATATATAATACTAGATAACAAAAATGGCATATAAAAATGTATTTTTATGAAAGATTATTTTTTTCCAAAAAAAAAAAATTTTAGGTTTTAGAAAAGATTTTAGAACTATAGAGACCGATCTCATGAATTTTGATCCATAACCAGTACAATAATTTATAGATTTATTTAAATGATAAAAAAAATAATTAGGGAAAAAAAATCAAATATTTTTGGATGAATTATCAATTATTATGGGAAGCGGGCGAAAAACAGCATTCAGCACTTAGCCATAACAGGGTGGCCTTTGACAGACTTTATCACAATATTGTGGACCCAATAAAGGAAGCAGTAGATCTAATTAGTGACCTCATTGACATGGGAAGGAATCATGTCTTAGAAAAGATGATCACAGACCTTGTACAACTTCTGAAGGATTTACCTTCATTGATAAAAGAGATGGCGGAAAACGTATGGAAATCGCTGCAGAAGATAAACAATTTTGATGGTAACCCTCTGGCAGACCGAGTCAAAAAGTTAATCAACCGTGTTAAAGTTTTCATCGATGACGTCAAAGGTGACATATTAGGATTCTATCACGTGAGTTTTCGTTCATTATAATCATTTTACTTTTATCAGGAATCATGTAGACGAAGAGCTGTTTAGTAATAATAAAATAAAAAACCTTAATTCCTGTTTTAAGCTATTGGAAGGAATTTAAGAAAATTATAAGTAGATTTTAGCTCATTGTAATGGATTATATTTTGATATTCTGAAGTAGCTTTACATGTATATGCCCTATTCTAATGAATCTATTTATAAATATGAGCTTCTTCAATTTTCTATCCTATTTAATCTTTATAAATTGACATTTAATAACTTTCCTGACAGAGTGTGGCAGATGCCATCACTGTGTCCTTACCTTTTGTCGGCAAAGAAATAAAGGAAGGGTTTGAACTCATCGGAGATTCCTGGAAATTCTGGGAAAACCCCATAGCGTCATTTCATGGCATGGAGAACGCACTTCTGAAGTAAGATATATATTTATTATTCGTTTATAAAAACTTTGTGACTGATCATCACTGAGGAATGCTTAGATTTTAATTATGGTTTATGATAATGTGTTGTGAGTTTTTTTTCAAAAATATGACATTATTAACACTGTTGATATTTTCCCTCTGATTTCCTTAGGTTTAAACTAGCTGTTATAACTTTCGTAGAAGCAAAAGAGAGAGTAATGGATTCCTTAAACATTTTTAAAGGTAATGATTTTGTTAGTTAAATGTATCAACAGATAGTTCTTGAGCCCCGAAATGTACCAGTTGCTGTAACTCATTTTGCAATATTTCAGGTACACGTTAAGATAAAGCAATGAAATATGCGGAGATAACGAACAGTATTCGAGTTCAAAAGTCCATTAAACATAACAAAATAGGAACAGAGCAAACACGGACCTCCAAAACATCAGAAGTGGGATCAAATGCTATGGAGGAGGGAGAGCGATAAAATCAAATCAGGAAAAATCATTATCATTTACTCCTCATGTCTAACTTAAGTAAGCTGAATTTTATATGTTACAAATAAAGGGGGACTTCCATACTGGTTTCACCCCATTGAAGAAGTTAAAGGCATGATGAACGACGTTATGGACATTATGGGTCTGATCAATGACGAAGTATTCCACTACAAAACAGATCCAGCCTCAAATTTTTCCGTGGCCGACATCACGGACGGACTTATGATGTGTGTAAGTACAAACGTTACAAAAGATTCAAATACGGGAACACTTTGATTAGATAATGTTCAAAGTAAATTTAAAATTAATTTCCTCAGGAAAACAAAAGGATCATCCATGATCTGGTAAAGGATGCCGTTATGCCTGTTTTAAATCAAACACTGGATAGAGTTAAAGAGATTGCCAAACCTTTCTGGGACAAAGTTACAGAAGTAATTGACCTCTTCAAGAGAATCAAGAGTTCTTATGACTTCGTAAGAGAGGCGTAAGTTTTAGTATTTATAATGTACCTTTCATTAACATAAACTCACTGTCTTCCAACAAAGAAGTTAAGAATAACGAGTGAAATATTTATGGAAACAATTATGAATATTACCTTATTACAGCATTAACAAAGGAAAATTCTTTATCCAAAAAATCTTCGGAGCCAAATTTCACAGAAAGTTTCCAAAAACTCCCGGCCCTTGTGATGTACCTTCATGTGCCTGTGGTGAATACAGGAAGATAAGTAACGGAATGATGGGGATAGATCTGATGATAGACTCCAAGAGTAAAATGGTATGTTTATATTGTATTGGTTTTCATATAGATATGTATTAACGCATTAAGTCCGTGCATGGTATATAATTTCGACCGTATCTTATCATTATTCTTCCTCTCGACTTATATTTCCTTGTTGCTTTTCAAAATTAAAAATTTAATGCACTATCTGTCATCTTTCAGGACGTACTTAATCCTATGACTGGTCTAGTCTCCTGGTACAGCGATACTGAGGTTCTTATCATTCCTCACAGAGTAGACGTCAGCATGTATGAAATTATTGTGTCAAACCTTAAACAAGTAAGCCCAAAAATTCCTAGAAACAGGAAGAAAAAGTTCTTCCTTGGCGGTCATAAAATTGGCAGGGTTGTTGATAATCTTGAAAATTGCGATTTTAACTTTATCACTGTGTCCATGAGAAAGAGAGTAGAGAATTCAACAGGTTTGGCAGAGGAAAATTATGAATACATCGATCCTTCTAAATACATAAAGAAGAAAAAACCAAAATCGTTTTGGAAACCAGTGTGCAAAGAGGCATTTTATCATTACATTGGACAAGTGGCAGACGACCTTGACATGGGAGATGAACCCGAGGAAGACGAAACCGAGACAACAAGAGAAGTAGACAGCAAGAAAATCAAAGGACCAAAGTTCTTGCATCGACATCATGTGGGAAAGCGGTCCTTAGAAATCAAATATAAGGGGATACGTGATAAAAGAGCTGTAGAATGCAACGACGAAAACGATAAATCCTTCAAATGCAAACTTAAGAGGTTCGGTACAAAAGTTGGAGAAATGAGAGAATCACTTATACTGAAGACGTATGTAATTTATTTTGAATTCAAACAATAGAATGATAATACCTGTAATTGTAAGTATATTAAAAGAAAAAAATTGATATTAAAAAAAAAAAGTAAAGCAAAATGTGTTTCAGACACTGAAAAGAATACATGTCATACACAAGAGTTTCAAAATAATGAAATAATCTAATTACAGAAAAGGAGCCATCATGCCAAATTTTGACATTTTTGAAATTTCCATTTCGGAAATCCAGTCCTTGAACATCAATGGGACTCTAATGATGCAGTTGAACAACAGTATAATGTCACTGAGTAAAGCAATGAAAGAAGCGCCGATTGAATACCCAGACAGTCTACCTATCCACAGAATAAGACATAAGCTTCGTGAAGCTGGAGCTGACTATCATGATATAGCCAGTGCAGACAGGTTAACGCTTGTGGATAAACTTCTCACGAAGCCTTTAGAAGGTAAAGAATCCATATTTCTTAAAAAAAAAAAACACTATTCAATACAAAGTCTTTAGATCCTTCTCATTTGACATTTCTTTTTCACCATTACTATGATTAACTCCAGTAAAACTGTTTCAATAATCTTTTAAGAGTGCCCATCTTTCCTGGATTCTGTTGCTTTGGAGTATGGACACCTGTGTGATGCCCACAGAGACTGTCTGGGGTTGACTTGTGGAGCGGTGTTTAAAGAGGGATATCAGAGACACCTTATCAAGTTAACTGTTCGCTGGAATCAATGTAATCAAAAGTTTGAAGTATCAATGGACGGAATGAAGCGACTCACTCATGTCTCAATAAACGGTAAACCAGTGTAGTTTAGGAACATATTTTCATTTGCTTGTTTCTTTTCTTTAATGATTTTTGAGGAAAAACTGAAAGAGGCAAAGTCTATTTTTATTAATCTTTATTCCAGAAACAAAGGAACTTCCTTTCACACTTCATGGCGAGACAAGTAAAGATATAATTTTTCTTATGTCTGTGACTGCTCGGAATCTGACCAATGGGACGACTTATTTTTTTAACATGTCAGGATCATTGTGTAACTCCGACTATTTTTCATGCTACGCTGACGTATACATACTGTCCAATTTACAAATGCACAACACCTCAACTGATCACTGCAAAGGACAAGGTAAAGAACTGTTAGATAACAAACGATATCTTGATACGCTTTTCTGTATTTTCATATGTCTTTAATTATACAAACACATTGAATACAAACATATTTTCATCTATGATACACTGTAGTATCTGGGTTTGATGGAATTTGTTATGTTATCACTACAGGTGACTATGACCCATACATCGCAAGAATCCGTGCATTAAACCTACAGGACCTTATTGAGGAAACCTCTGAGTTTGGTCTAGATATCCATTCACTGTTAATTCTGGTGAATAAGCTGAGAGAGGAAATAATCAAAGAGGTAAAGAGCATTACATAAAGACAGAAACGAAAAATAATGAACTTTCAAAAAAAAAATGTATATGATGAAAGACAATGTATGATTATTCATGAACTTTACATGTAAATTACACATTGACAAGAAAAGAACAAAAGGTATATGCATATTTTTATGTAATTGTTCATCCTCCAGGTTACGACAATTCAATTTACATCAGAATGCCATTGATCCTGATGCTATGGAGAACGCCTTTCCAGCGGCAATGGATCTCAAAATGAGCAAATTTATGCCTCTTGGTCACATAGATATTACGATATTTGAAATCAGCTTTCATTTTATGGTTGGACCCATTCCACTCGAATTATGTAAGTTTGAAATGGATCTAAAAGACGTTAGAGATATTTTAACGCAACTAAATTGACATACATTCAGAATGGAATGCAACTGCCTTTAAACATATGTAGTTCAATTATACTTTGATATTTTACAATACTTCAAAAATGATTTTTGAAAGGACATCGTTTATTTTTACAAATGTCCTTGATTTCAAAATGAGAATAGGTTGTGCTATTTAATAGTATAATAGTACTATTTAAAACATAATTATACTATTTTTTCATATATGTTTTGGATTTTGTCTTTTCTTTCTCGTTTAAGCCTTTGGAGCAGGAGCAAATATTGGAGCAGATTTAGAAATTTCATTGGCATTAATGAGTTTGCAAGCCAACGTATGTATATCATCTGTTGATTTTTATGCATCAAAAAGAGGTTTTATTTTACGAGGATACATTATCTAAAAACTCATTTTTATCCTCTATATAACAGTTAAGAATAAGTTGTGTCATATCCAAGTTAATAGAAGATACTGATGACATTTAAAAAAAGCATTACCTCATGATCAATTACCATAAACATCTGTTTGCAGGGCACGGTTATTCCTCGCATTGGGGCAATTGTTTGGGGTGAACTTAATGTGGACATTGGTATTGCTTATGGTGGAATTCGACTAGAGGGACACTTAGTCCAAACATCTTTTCCAATAACCATTTCACTAACATTTTCTAAGTTCCCAATTGCTACAGTGTAAGTTTAAACCACACAAAATCTTTAATTCTTAAAATCTATATTTTCCTAATTAAGGGATACTTAATTAACCAATAATTATCAAATATATCTCAGATTCAATGCTTAATTAACCAATTATTAACAAATATATTTCAGATTCAAACTTGATTTGGTACTTGTGCCTCTAGAATTGAGACTTAAAGCATTCGCAAAAATCAGACTTTTCTCTATAACTGTATTTGATGCTTGCATATGGAGATACAAAATGAATACAATAAAGAAGAACTTGATTACGAAGGAACACAATAAAAAAGACGATTCCCCACCAAATATTTCGCATGTTTCTCAAAATTCGAGACGCAAGAGAAGTGGTGAAGGTGGTTGTGACATAACTCAGTTTAAAAACAGAGATCCTACTGATCCGGCTTTTCTTCTGGAAGTAAGTGCTGATGACGAGGTTAGTGACGTCACCCTCACGTATGCAATCGGGACACACAGAGGTGGATCTAACGTTGTTAATTGGACGGGAATGAAAGGTTCCTCTTTGACAGCACCTGTTACTTTACCAAATGGTATTCCTCTGTATTGGACAGTGAAAGCTCAAAACAGCAATGGAGGCACTGCGGTTGTCGAGTGCTCTTTAAATACTTATGATAACACCATACCTGATGGACGAATCGAAGCTTCATACCCATTTACCAGTCATCCAAACCTACTTTCAGGAACAGTAATTGTCTTCGATGATTCCAAACTCATTGAAACACATTCACATAGTGTTGGGTTTTCTCATGGGGAGTTAGGAAATGAAGTTGTAGACTGGGATCTTCTTCTCCTTCAGTCCACCCATAAAAGAGAAGGATCAAATGACAGACATCTTCAATATTTCACTGTTCCAAGGGAAGGAAAATTAACTTCAATGTTTATGAGAAGAACAAAAGTTAATTCTGCCGATGAATGCGCTGAAAACTGTCTCAACTATGGAGACAAATGCATTTCGTTTGATTTTGAATTTCATACTGAAACTTGTGACCTCCAATCTGTTATTGAGGGACCAAATGCTGAACTAAGAATAAGTGGAACGTACAAGAACTACGAACGATTAGGACTGGGCTATGATGCATTTGTGTCGTACAACATATCCCTTCAACACGGGGTGATATACTTCATTAACGCAGACGTAACAAATGACTTAGGATACAAAGCATTCATTACATCTAGGGGGACTATGGTTGACTACACTCCACCTGAGCCGGTCAATGTTGGAAATGCCACAAAAGACTACGTGAAAGCCGATGCTTGTAATGCTGCAATAACACAAAGATGTGTTGATGTTACCACAAATCCTAACCACAGGTGATTTTAGTAAAAATTTGGAGAAGCAATAACAAGCAATGAAATGAATTACAGTGTATAATGTTGTTGATCTTTGCTCTTTGTTGCAGGCATATCATAGACGGCCCAAACGCAAGTACTGTATTTAATGGACACGAATCTTTGAAGGAGACGTTATATACTATCACCAACCATTTTGTTTCAGGTAATTATACAGGCACCATTAGGTATTTTTATAGGAAGTTGTACGAAAAAAAATATTTCATACTTTAATTATGTTAAACAATTTTTTTGTTTTTGCAGCTAATTTTGACAGTTTTGTGGATAAAGAGAGTGGGATTTTCGGTTACACGTGGGCAGTAGGTAGACATATTTGTGGAACTGACATTTCTCCTTTTGCTGACCCCCATGCTCACTTATCAAGTCCAAAGTTTTGGACTAATACCGGTTACGCTAGAGACGTACACCTGTCTGATGGTCAGTATTATGTCACTGTGCAGTCACTGAACAATGTTGTGCATGGCGGATCTCTTGTCACAACGGTTTGTCATTCTGTTCCATTAACCGTCGATACTTCACCTCCAGAATTTAAAGGCTTGACAGATATTATATTTGATGAGGATTTTAACTTGATGGCCATCTATTTTGGTGCGGAAGATCAATTATCAAAGATTGCAAGAGTAGACTTTGGACTGGGAAAAACAAAGCATGACGTGGAAGTACGAGGATATTCGAAATTTGACTACAAGCAGACGGAAAATCCATACATTGTCATTAAAGACCTGAATTTAACTGATGGGGAACCGGCTTGGATTCGCCTACGTGCTGTAAACAACGGTATGCAAGATGTTAATTAATGGCATACTTTCTCCCTCCTTTTTCCTTTTAGAAAGCATGTTAAGCCGCCTTATTCGTAATGATTTTTTTTTCGATAAATGAATGCATAGGTTAAAGGGTACTGCATATTTTCCTTCATATATCTTTTTTTAGTTGAACTTTTTACCGCCGGTCACAGTGATGACCCCATCTTAATTGATAGAACGAAACCATATCCAGGTAAAGTTTTGGATGGCTCCACCCTTGATGAGGATGAAGCATACCAATCAAAGACTAATGAGATATGTGCAAGTTGGAAGGGATTCTATGACCCTGAATCAGGAATCAGTCAGTATGTATGACAAAGTAGTTATTTTTGTCCTACTTTTCCCCTATTCGAAAAACAGAGATTGATTGATTTATTGAATGTTTTTAACGTCCCTCTGGAGAATTTTTCACTCAAATGGAGAAGCCTGAAAAGCAGAGATGAAGAGTATAAAATAATTTTTGTCAGATACACCTGGGGAGTTGGAACTGAAGCTGGAAAAGATGACATCGTCAATTTCATTGTTTTGTCTCGTGATGTCAAAGAAAAATGTTCCCAAGCCAATTTGACCCATAACAAAAAATACTATAGCACAGTTGTGGCCAAAAATAGTGCACTCAATCCAAAGACTATAAAATCCTCATCTGATGGAGGTATGCTTCGAATATTGGACTTGCTAGCTCAATTATGTTTTAAAGCTGTCCTTTTTTCTTTGTTACTATTAAAAAATGTATAATTTATTCCCTTCTTGTAGTTTTGATAGATACAACATCACCAGTCACAGGATACGTAAAGGATGGCGATAACCCGGCAGAAGATATCGAGTTTTCGTCAGAAACTGCAGAGCTTGCCGTTAACTTTGGGGGGTTCAGAGATCCAGAGAGTAGTATTGCTGCGTATGCTATTCATGTGTTTGTCAACGGCGAGAAAAGACGATCATTTCAAGCAGGACTTTCCACAACATTTAAAGACTTCTCGATGTCCTTTCAACAAGGCGATCATGTTATTTCCCAAGTCACTGCTAGAAACAAGGCTGGATTGGAATCATCGGTTATATCCTCAGGCTTCGTAGTAGACCTTTCCCCTCCTGTCATTAAGTTTATTTACTCGTCTAAAGAAGGGAGAAAGTACCAAACTGATAATTCTAGTTTATCTCTTTCTTGGTTGTTTATCGATCCTGAATCTGGTATGAAACTGTATAGGTATAGAATTTATGATTTTTATCAAGGAACGAAAACACCTAAAACGAAAGAATTTGCAACAAATATGACATCTGTGAAACTGCCTCTGCAGATGGCAGAAGGCCATAGTTATTCTGTAAAGGTAATCGCAATAAATAATGCAGATATGCCAATCTCCCAGGAATCTGAAGGTGTAATGATAGACACATCACCACCGAAAATACGAGAGGTAAACTTGTGAAATTGTCGTTAAAAAGATATCAAATTTTAAAAGTAAAGCTTTTTTAAAATGATATGTAAATTTTATTTTTCAGGTCCACGTTGGTTTAATAAACGTGCCAGAAGATACCTTTGATAATGGCACGGTCATGCATGCGGATGAAAAGCGAATTACTCTCAGTTTTCGAGCACTAGATGCTGAAAGTGGTGTTTCCAAGATTTTTGTTGCAATTCTTTCAGAAGGAAGACAAGCGAGTCCCAATGATTATCGTTCCTATGCATTCTCCCACACAATAGATATTGAAAAGTAAATCATTTAAATCTTGAGTTTCACAAAAGTTTAGGTTAAATATTATGCATAAAAATGAGTAAATCAAAAATGTTGTTAGTACTTTATATACATTTTGACAACACGTTTGAGAGGTTTATTTCTTTGTAAAATTTATTATATATAGTAAACGAAAAAAGAATAGGATAAAAAGTAAAACTATATTTTCTTCAATTATTTGTTATTTGTTTGACATTAATGTTACTTTAACTAATTTTTTGTTCTTATTTTCCTAGTTTAAAATTAATACCCTCCAACGTGTACCGAATTTTTGTTATTGTTGAGAATGGCGCTGGCATAAATTCGACAATAAATAAAGAGAAAACAATCTACATCATGAAGAAGAATATTCCCGGAACAGTTTTTGATGGAAGACAACTTTTAGTGGATGAGGACTTCACGGAAGACAGGACATCTTTAGCGATGTCTTTTGTCGGTTTTAAAAGCGAAAGTTGTAACATTGTGAAGTATGAGTGGGCTATAGGTTATCAACCTTTTGTATACGATGTTCTACCGTTCACTGATTACGGTATTGTCATGCATAATGAAAGTTTTGGTCAAGGCCAAATGCACCTTCGTTTATACGAAGATTCTACATATTATATTACCGTTCGGGCTAGAACAGGTTATAATTGCAAAGTTGGACAATATATCGTTTCAACTTCTGACGGAATAAAATTGGACACAATACCTCCAGAAATAAAGATAATCGAGTTTGGAGAAAAAATCATTGATTCCGATCTGAAAGGAGAAACTCTTTATCTAGATCGAACTGATGCAGCGTCAGTCCGTTGGAATTCTTCAGACTCCTCGGGTATAGCAGAAACATGGTGGTCTATCGGAACGCTGCCTGGAAAAGATGATCTTCACCAAAGAACTTTCACAAGAATAAATTTCATTCCGGCTGGAGCAGCATCTTTCACAAACGGTCAAACTTTCTATCTTAACATTGGCGCTACAGACAATGCCAGGAACAAAAAAATTGTTACTTCACCAGCTATCACTATTGACATTACGGCTCCAGTCATCACGGATTACCATTGCACCCCGTTTATATCAGATAGAAGATCTCTAGTGGAATGCCAATGGGGAATGGTACAAGATCAAGAAAGTATGATCACAAAAGTATTTGTTGGTGTAGGAACGAATGAAACGGTCCCTGATATTTCTGAATTTCATGAAATTCCAATGCTGAAGAGAAACTGGATTCGAGATATGCACACCAAACTTAAAAACAATTTAGTTTCTAAAATTTATATAATTATAAAGGTAATCAATGGGGTTGGTTTAATTTCTGTTAAACCTTATGAAATAAGTGTAGACAGAACACCACCCGAGAAAGGCCGAGTTGAAATTATCACTTCACTTGACCTGGACCAGCCGCCAAACAGACAGTTATGCCAGATCCCTCAAACATTTATCGAAGTAAGGACTTTTGGTTGGATTGATAAGGAATCGGAACTACTGAGGTATCGTATTTTACAATAAATTGATAAATGTTTTTATGACACCATGTCTTTCTATAATTCTACCGTGATTAAAAAGATAAATAGCACAAAATTGATTTCATTATTTCTTACGTTAAATCGATTCTGAAAGACCTCTTCAAAGGAAAACAATCTTAATAGTTCATTTTATTTTCAAGGTATGAGGTTGCCGTTGGAACGAATGGCAAAACGACAAACATAAAAGATTTTATAACCCTTGAAAATCCAGAGAAATTTTTGATCAACGGTATTTTTATGCCTGAAGGAAGTAAAGTCTACGCCACCGTTCGAACCTTCAACAAAGCTGGATTATATGGTCAAATGAGATCAGATCCAGTTGTGATAAGTTCACAGCCTTCTCTAATGGTTATCGATGGGCCTTCAGATGAAGATATTGATTTCCAGTCATCGTTGGGTATTCTTCAAGGACGATGGATATATTCTGATCCATGTAATATCATCAGTGCTGAATGGTCAGTAGAAATGTTAGATGGTTCAATTTTTAAATCGCCATCTTTAATCCCAAAAGGTTTGACTCATTTCTATTCTGATTTAGTGACTCTTCAGAATGGAATAACATATATTAACGTCATCAAAACAACTGATGCTTTAAATAGAACGAGAATCAGTAGATCGAATGGGGTGGCGGTTAAAATACAGCCACCTATTCCTGGCGATGTTCGTGATGGTATTCAGGAGGATCTAAACTACCAAGAGTCAGTAACATCTTTAAGTGCTAACTGGGATGCATTTGGCAAAAGTTTGAACTCCAGAGACCCGACCCAGCAAATTGTATATTACGAAGTGGCCATTGGAAACGACAGGCGTTTTCCAAATACGAGAACGAACGTTCATTATTTTGAAAACGTAGGCCTTAACACTACATATACATTTACTGGGCTAAACCTTACCGCCAAAATTGTCAAATACTATATCACTGTACGAGCAATGAGTCGTGCTGGGAGTACACAGGAAAGTTATTCTAATGGAATCCGTGTAGGGTATAGAAACGAAATAATTCCTGGGGAAATCGAGTCTTCAAATATACAGTCCTCTACTTCCGATCTTGCTGTTTCTTGGACTGGATTCCAGGCTGACATGGGTATAGACTATTTCCGCATTGGATTAAGTTCATTTTCCCCCAGTCTACCTAACGGAACTCTAAATTGTGTAGAATTTAATAGCATTTTACCAGAACTTGATCAAGTACCAGTTTTTAAGGTCGAGAGAGATACTTTTTTCCAATTTAAGAATCTGCATTTAAAACATAATCACAACTATTTTGTTACTGTTGTGGCAACGGATGTTACTGGGCGTTGCATCGGCGTGCATGGTGATCCTATTCTTATAGACACCACTCCTCCAAAGCCGGGAGGTATTTTTGTTGAAGGTAGCGAGGGTGATAATGTTCTTTACTCAACAGAACCTGATCACTTTTTACTTGAATGGGATCCTTTCCAAGATAAGGAAAGCAAAGTTAAATTATACGAAATATCAATCTTCAGCACAATGGCTTGCTCTGATAAAGATGCAAAAAATGCGGAAACATCTGATTTTTATACTCTTGTGAAAGAGGATCGCGTTGAAAATGATAATAAAATTGTTTTCTATGACTTAAAACTTGAACCAGGAGTTTCCTACATTGGACGAGTAAAAGCTTGGAATGAAGCAGGCTTGGAAGCAAACATTGTTTCAAAACATATTCGATTTGATTTCTCATCTCCTATGCCAGGAGCAGTGAAAAGAGGAAATAGTTGGTTCAAAGAACTTTCATTCCAACCATTCACTAGTCACGTGGACGGACTGTTTGGTATATCAAATCCTTCAAACAATGCTCCCTTTAGATGTGAATCTCAGGAAGTTTTGGTTCCTTTTGCAGATAAAAAGAAATCATATTCTATTTTAGATGATCAATTTTCTCCCAAGTGTATTGAAACAGATGGAAACAAAATAAGTTTGTTAATTCGTCACGATGATAATTTGAGAAGCGTTATCAAGGGAGGAATTTTAGTGGAAAATAAAGATTTACGAAATGGCAATTACACTGTTAACATTAAATCTGTGTTGGGCCTTAATATGGTCTCTACAATATTCTTTGGATCGGACAAAGATTCAGTTGTATCCAACTTTGAATATACACCAGAAAAGAGAGTTAACTCATCTTTTAAAGAATGGAATGATAAATCTGATTACCGGAGTAAAAATATAACGAATTCTGTTGATAACGAAAACCTAACCATGACAACAGAAAGTACCCACATTAGCAAGTCATGGACAACACAAGACTCTCTCAAACAAGAGGACCCTGAAAATAATGAAAATGCGATGAACAAGTCTAAAAGAAATTCCATGAGTATTGGAAAGGAAGGAGAATACAGCTTCGGCGTCCACCTTCCTGGTTATCAGTTTGATGATAACTGGGTCGCTTTCTTTTGGATAAAGGACAAATATAGATCTGAGGTAAAGCAAGTTGTTCTCGAATATAACCCTACTTCATCAGGGACAGAATTTTCTTTCAGCACAGCAAAAAATGAACTGGCTACACACACAACATGGGGATTGCGATTTTTCATTAATGGTGTATTGAAGGGGGAATACAGTGGTTTGAGACTTTCAAGTGAAGGGATAATGGGCATTTACAATTGGAATAAGGATAACTACTTTCCACCAATTTCAGACCCCGACTTTCCTGTTGCCTACAAATCAGTTGCTGTTATTTCTGACCTTAAAATACCTTTACCAATGGAAAAACCGTGTATGCACGGCTTACCCTTTTCAGACACCGAGAGTGGAATAAAAGAGATTTTTGTTGGTCTGTCGGATACCAAGAGCACCAATAACACTGCATCAATTTCTCCGTTCACCAGATTTAAAACTTTTTGTAAACCCTGTAAATCCGATTGTAACATTGATTGTGATTCTTTATGTAAAACTCATCAAGCAGATTTTAATATTTTGCCTTTTACCATAAATAATGTAAATCTGCAATATGCAACAATCGATAAAACAGATATCAAAGCCAATGGATCCAGCTTCCATGCTCCGACCTATTACATTAATGTGAAAGCGATTAATTATGCAGGACTGGAAACCGTTGTTTCTTCCGATGCTGTTATGGTGGACATTTCTCCACCTGTTCTTGATTTTGTTCGTTGCCTTGATCCTTCAGACTCCATGGACGCTCCTTCACTTTTCCAGGGGACAAATAAAAGTATCGCTGCGTACTGGGATGGCTCTGAAGACGTTGGGGATATCGTAGCGTATAATATTTCCATCGGAACAACTCCAGGTAAATCTAAAAAAAAACATTGATATCAATAATACTTTTAAATGAAAGGTAACAAGGTAAAATAAAATGTTATTTTTTGAAGGTGGAGAAGACATATACAATAAAACAGGAGTTGGTTTGGCTACGAAGATAAAAATTGATGACCTAGATGGTAAACTTCTTCACGATCATACTTACTTCATCACAATAACAGCGATTAACTCTGCCGATTTAACGGCAACGAAAACGTGTAACATCACGGTAGAAACCAAAGCCCCTGATATCAGTGGCCTGAAGGTTAAACTTCTGTTTGGTAAATCAAGAAGTCAAGGTCGCTTCACAACTGAAAATAGTAGAGAACTTGGAATAACATGGACAGGTGGAAAGGCTGATGTGGAATTTTATGGTAGGATATGGTTTCTAAATTTGAAGAATCGTTTAACAATTATCTTGAAATTCATTATTTGACTTTTTTTTAAAATTTAAATTGAATTTTGTTAAAGAGTGGCAAGTTGGATCTGTGCCAAGGGGAGATGACATATTTCCACGGGTGAAGATAGGATTAAAAAATTCCAAGAAAGCTGCTATTGAGAACGGGGAGCTGCGAATTGATGACAAATCATTAAATGCAACTGTTGGCGAATACGCAAAACGGAATTGGACAGAAGAAACACTTAAAGAAGCCAAAGCAAACACTTTCTTCAATATGGAGCCAGGGCTTTGTCTCTATATTACGTTGTTTGCTGTAGGGAGGTCTCACTTATCAAGTTCCAGACAAATTGAGCCATTCTGTATAAAACGTATGTTAACCAAAATTCTTTTTTTTGGGGGTGAATTTTCGTGAGGATGAATGATAATGAATTCTGATTAATATTCAAATGTACATAAAAAGCTTTTATGCTTTTATTATCTTTCATCAGGCAACGAAGACAAAGAATTTACAGTACATAAAAGACGCAGAACTTCGAATCAAATTCATGTTGGAAGAAATCTTGAAATCAACCCAAATGGTATAACGCAATTTGAAATCATTTAAATTTTGAAATTTAAACATATTATATAAATAATTGATAAATAAAAAAAAATTAAGGAGGAGCTTATTTCTAAAGTAATCTTTTCTCTCTTTTTTAGCTATATTTTCGGTTTTTATTTAATAGTAAACTTATCACGTTATATTGTCAATTATAATTTGTGCATTGATTAATCAATGAGACTGATAATAGGCGGTGTTCTGAGTGGGATTCTAACAGAGAAGGACTACACAGAGGAGTACGGGTCTGCTGCCTCCGGAAGTTACATAAGATACATTGTGAACCCAACAGAAAGATTTTCTGATACCTCTCGATTTCTGAGGAACAGGTTAACTTTGAAAACTAATATAAATGAACTATTTAAGCACTTTAAGATATCTCAAATCAAGTTTAAGTTTCAAGATAGTACTCAGTACACGAAATATATGACGTCCGAAAATAATTCTTGTCACATGCAAATTATCTAACAATTTATTGAGAAAAATCTAGTCTAAGAAAGTTTGTAAATCAAGATCACGTAAAAAAGAAAATGACTCCTAGTCCCTTTTTTAGAATCCTTTCGAACACAGGACCTTCTTTTTATATCACACCCACAGAGGAATTGGTGGATGTCATCACAAAAATTGCCGTAAACTCCTCCGATTTTGATATAAATATGAACATTCCAGCTCTTGTGTATTGGGATAGAGGTGAGTTATCCAATCTTTCCTGGCTTTGTGTTTATCTGATAGATGGAATGTTATTTCAAGCAACTCTATCCTTGTATACCTGGATAGAGATAGATTGCTCAAATTTAAAACAGTACAGTTATCACTTGTGTTGATATAAATATCAATTGTTCAATGCACGGCTTACTCTGTTCCTTAGAAATACAGAAATGGGTCTCCGTTGAGGAAATGTGCAAGGGTTCAAACATCCCTACAAATATTCTTGATACATTGGTATGTTCAAAAACTATTTTATTTCACTTATCGTTTTTAATGTAATAAGACACATTTTGTACATTGAGATGATGTAATTATTGAATTATATTTGCCTCAGGTCTGCTCTAAAGTATTCCAAACAGATCTTAGAAGAAACAAAAGAAGTACAGGCAATAAAACATTGGAAAGCCATCCTCGAATGTTTACAGTAATGAAAATCAAAAGAGATGCACAAAATAACAAACCGATCATTACCACAAACGGTCCTCTGCACTACCTGGAAGATAATACAACTACTGCTAAGGTTCTAATAGAATCCTATGATATTGAGAATGACAGTTTGCATTATTCTATAGAAGAAAACTCTAGAAATGGTCAAGCTAATATATCATTAGACGGTTGGTTTATTTATGTTCCAAACGAGGATTTCAGTGGAAATGACTCTGTAAAGATATGCGTAACCGAAGTAAATGTATCGTCACCGTTTGTAGCAACAAAATCCTGCAAGGTCTTTGACATTGAAATCGATCCTACAAATGATGATCCCACAATAGAATTCCATCCTCATTTTCCACTAAATTCTAGTGGAGATACGCATACAATTGTTTTTGAGGGAAATATCACAAGAGATAATATATATGGAATTATCTCGGCCGATGACGTTGATAAAAACAATAATTTAACAATCAGGCTGATAAACGATTCCGCAAGCCAACTTTCTTCATTCAAGCTGACAAAATCTGGGACTAACCGCATTCAAAGTTCTCACTCAAGTTCTCATGTTGAAATGTATCTAAGTCACCATCTGAGTAAAGAATTTAGTGGCCTCAGTGAAGTTGGAATCAGAGCCCATGACGACCAGCTTGACTCTCGAAATCTGTATGGCTACAGTAAAGAGATAACTATCCAAGTTTTTGTTTTGAAAAATCCTTGTGTTCACGGTAAATGCATAAACTTAACAGAAACGTCTTGCACTGATTCATCACGTGCATATAGTTTCCATAATTTTGCCTGCGATTGTAGCCTTGGTTACGATGGACAATGGTGTGAAACTGACATTAATGAATGTCACCCAAACCCCTGTTCGGTCTTTTACGACTGTGAAAACTTAATTGGTCGGTATGAATGTGTCTTGAATGGTCCTAAAACCTTTGGACTAGCGATAGGATTCCTCTTCATCATTGGTTTCCCCGTCCTGTTATTCTGGAGACATGTGAAAAAGCGTCGACCCAGTAGCAAAGTCTCTGACAGTATGTTTCTCCCACCATCAAATAGAAGGTAATCTATCACATCCACAGTATTACATGTACATGAAGAAATTAAATGCAATTTCTAAATACATTTTTAGCTCACCTGAGCCGAAGGCTCAAGTGAGCTTTTCTGATCACTCGTTGTTCAAACGAAGGGCCACGCCCTCTTCCAAGGGGACATTATTATAAATTAGTGAAAAATTAAGGGCATTTTCATCTTCCTCTCAAGAACCACTGGGCCAGGAAAAACCAAACTTGCTATTAAGTATTCATGGGTAAAGGGAATTCAAATTTGTTCAAATGAAGGGCCACGCCCTCTTCCAAGGGGACATTATTATGAATTAGTGAAAAATTAAGGGCATTTTTAAAAAATCTTCTTCTTAAGAAACACTGGGCCAGGAAAAATGAAACTCATGTGAAATCATCCTCAGCTAGTGTAGATTTAAATTTGTTCAAATCATGACCCTGGGGGCAAGGGTTGGGGCAAAATGGCCGATCAAATTTTTATATAGGAATATATTGGGAAAATCTTTAAAAATCTTCTTCTCAAGAACCATTGGGACAGGAAAAATGAAACTCATGTTGAATCATCCTCAGATAGTGTATATTCTAGTTTGTTCAAATCATGGCCCCCGGGGATAGAGTACGTTGGCCCACAATGGCCGATCAAAGTTTTACATAGGAATATAAAAGAAAAATCTTTAAAAATCTTCTTTCAAGATCCATTGGGACGGGAAAGATGAAACTCATGTTGAGTCATCGTCAGGTAGTGTAGATTTAAGTGTGTTCAAATCATGACCCCTGGGGCAAGGGATGGGGAAAAATGGCCGATCAAAGTTTTACATCGGAATATAAAGGAAAAACCTTTAAAAACATTCTTCTCAAGAACCATTGGGACAGGAAAGATGAAACTCATGTTGAATCCTCCTCAGCTAATGTACTATGAATATGTAGGGAAATTTTTAAAAAATTCTTCTCAAGTACTGCAAAGCCATGATTAGTGATATTTTTATGGAAGCATCCTCGGATACTATAGATTCTAGTTTGTTCAAATCATAACCCCCAGGGAAAGGGTGGGGCAACAATGGGGGATTCAAGTTTTACATTAAAATATATTTTAAAAATCCTTTTTTTAGAATAGCAAATTATGATTAGTGATATTTATATGGAAGCATCCTTATGAAGTGTAGAATTAAATTTATACAAATCATAACATCGAAGAGTTGGGAAGGGTACCAATGGTAGATCAAAGTTTTACAAAGGACAATAAAGGGAAAAATCTCAGTAACAGAGAAGCTATGTTAAGTCATATTAACATGTTAATCCTCATGTATTGAAGATTTAATTTATTTTAAAATCATGAGTACCCTTTAGGATAGGGAGGGAAATGATGGGGAGTCAAATTCAAATTATTACAAAGTAATATACAAACAAAAGGTTTAAAAAATCTATAAAAATCTTTTTCTTAAAAACTTTCTTTAGAAGTTATATGCAGAATTGATATGGAGGCACTCTCAAGTAGTATTAGAATTCAACCCCCCCCCCTCTTTAGTAAACATTTCAATTCCGATCTGATTGTGCGTTTTCCTAGCCGATGTGCTCAGGTTAGCGATGTGGCCCCTGGGCCTCTTGTAAAATGCTTTTTCTTTCAATGTGCAGACATTATTACATCTTTTTCATTTATCTCTTTTGTAAGACTTGCACGAAGAGGCAGATACAATCCAAAGCTTTTAGCTCCTAAAAGCGATATACCAACAACGTCAAGTGATGAAACCTGGAGGAAATCCTTCCCCTTTGAGAGCGAAGAACAGAGGATGTCAGCCATGAATTCTTTAGCAGAACACAATGCCAATATAAGAAAGAACGACACAACATCGATGTCTGAAACTGCATTCAAAAAGTGGGCAATGCCTCGGAAAAAGATATTTACTGGCAGACAACTTATTAAACGTGATGGAATTTCTTCGACCGAATCTGGAATTCCCGAGCCACCACAAAGAGTTGCAACTCCGAGCGGCATTACTGGGATGTTTTCAGTCGAATAATTGTAATCGACATGAAAAAAAACTCTTATTTTTTACCTTTTCTCTTTCAATTCAGAACAACGTGACTTCTTGTTTGCTGTTTTGAACTTAGTTTAGAATCTTTATTAAAGCATCATTAAAAATCTTGCTGACTTTGAATTCATGTAAAAAAAGAAGGAGGAAATGTCCAACAAGCTTACAATTGGTTTTCACTAACTGACTAAGGCTAGGGTATAGCAAGATTTTGAGGTCACATGCGTCGCTCAGGTGCACATGACCTATTGCTATCGTTTTCTTCCGTCTACATCATCTTCAGCCGTACGTCGTGTATCATTCAAAAACATTTGAATATTTTCAATTCTTCTCCTGAACCACTGAACCAATTATGGGATACAGACATTGGTTATTGAGTCAGGGTGTGGCTCCAATGATCGTATAGTGAAAGTGCATAAACTCTTTTTAAATATTCTTTCCCCCTTTACGTGTATAAAGCAGAAAAACTAGCTGTATGGTTATGGTGATCAAGATATCCTTTTCAAAATTGTGAAAATTTGTGACCCAAAGATGATAAATTGTATAGGAGCGGTTGGACTATTATAATGAGAAATAAGAAGAAGGAACAGTTTGGTCTGTATTGTGCCCTTAAAATTAAATTTTCTTAAAAATTTATGAAATTGGCTTTCTGCAAAAAAAAGCCTTATAATGACTCATTTCTGTGGTTATTTTCATATAGAAAATGATATCTACAGCCATCACCCACTTCAATTTTTGGATATATTGTGTAAAATGCTTTAAAAAGGACATATATGTATTTAAAAATCTTTGTGGGTGATACATGTGCTACATGTTTCCTAAAAGATCATTCCATTGAAAATCGATGTCTCCTGCAATTTTTTAAAGAAAATACGAGAAAATGCACAAGTTCATGACGTCACAATCAGCATTAAGGGGTCATATAAGACAAATGATTCGTAGATTTTTACTGCATGGAATTTAAGAAATTGGGAAAGATGAATTTTAATTTCTTACTTCACTTTCATATTTTATAAAAATAAAGGACAAAATTTGTATTGAATCTTTACTTTGTCCTTTTCTTTTAAATCATTTCCACATCTACCTCTAGGTATTTAGCAGATAAACTAGATGCATGGTTAAGATGAGCAAGGATGCCTCTCTCAGAATTGTAGAATTCATGGTTTATGTTCAGGGTTCCTAGGTGCTATTTAACATAAAGTGGTGATGCAGTATGTATCATTAAACATATAAAGATAACGAACAGTATTCAAAATCAAAAGTTCATAAATTAATACAAACAGGAGCGAAGCAAACACAGTGTATTAATAATGGACTAACAATTAGTATGAAAAATGTCATTCAGCATTTAACTCATATTTTGAAATATACTCTTCTTTATTATGGTGTATGGTAAAGATGAGCGAGAATCTCTTTCCAAAAAAAAATTATAAACCGGGGTCAGAGATTTTGGTAACACTAAGCTGAATATATGGTGGAAATGACTTTTTAAAAGATATATTCTTTAATGTGCATTTTTATTAAGGAAACACAAATACGTACATTGTTATGATGAGCAACAGTTCCTCTTCCAAAATTGTGAATATTTTTGTCTCTTGGTAGGACCTTTTGAATTAAGGTGGTGTTATATTGAATCTATAGTGAAAATCGATAATTTGTAGGTGTCAAACAGGATTCTTATAAAAAGTGCAGAGTTTCGACCAGATTTTGTAATTTAATTGATTTTGATCAATTTATTAGTTTCCAGTGAAAGAAGTTATTACCTTTGCTATATGATGGTAAATCACAGTACACCGCAGATGAATTTAACAGAATTAAACAAACGTTATGGTCAGGTAATATTTTTAATGATAGATAAATGAAAATGAAATAAGATTACCGTATCTTTGTACATTAAATAATCTTCACAGAGTAAGAAAAGCCAATGTGATGAACGACAAATTGTGGTAATGAATTATTTTAGGATTAAACTTTCTTTTTTCAGAATTTATCAATGTGTAAACTCTGCCTTTTTACTCACAAACTGAATAAAAGTGCTTCGCACTTTTATGTAAAGTTTGTGAGTAAAAAGGCAGAGTTTACACATCGATAAATTCTGGAAAAAAAGAACGTTTAATTCTTATAATTCAAATTACGAATTTTTTAAATTATTAGAATTATTTCTCATTGAGGCTGCCATACAATCCGTTATTTTGTACGGCGTAGGAATACCTTATGCCGCAAAGAAACGTATACAAGATGAATATCGATAAAATCCAACTTAAATTGTCAAAACAATCAATAAATAAATGTATAAAAACTCCTTGAATGTTGTTTAAGTCAACAAATATCGCAAATACGCGTATTCTCCAGAATAATTCGTCCTTGACCATGGTCATGTTGACATTAGCCTAATGACAACGTCATAGGGAAAGTTGCAGACCGACGTCGTCCTCGATTTGCTCTGTTTCGTTCAAAGATTTAGGGAGAAATGGGATATGTAGGATGTATATATGAATTTGATGCTGATAAGGCAAGTGTCTGAAGTACGTTTCTTTTCCCTATCAGCAAGATACCAACTGAGCTGTTATGGAACGTCGAGAAAAAATGACAGCATGATCAGCGATTTTTTAAAATTCACATTCGTGATCCGACAGTGACATAAACATAATATTCCCGTCTGTCAGTCCTGTTTATCTCCTTTTAATTCATTCATTCAATTTTTGATTTGAAGTTTCTTGTAATCATAGTTTAGCTAAAACGGACTAGAAGTATCTATTAAGTGTTTTCACAGTTTTTACAGCAGTGAAAAATTCATCGATGTGTAAACTTTTTCTTGAATTTGTTCTCGTCCAATCAAAATACAGGGAATCAATGAATAAAATTAAGATTGGAATTATATGGAGATAACGACCAGTATTCAAGCTCAAATTAACCTATGAAATATTAAACACACACTTAATAAAGCAAAAAGGATAATTTTCTCAAACTATAACACTATTTCTCGATATGATTGGGTCTTTGCTCTATTTTTTAAAAACTCAATCCTCATTTAGATAAATCGTCGAAGGATTGTCAATTAATAATGGTAATTTCCATTCCTACGTAGATACAATATATCCTGGTGAGCTTGAGATCAAAGATACCACAGAGTCTGACACTTCTGTTTCAAACTTGGATATTTTACTTGAAAGAGACACTAATGGTAATCTAACAACCAAGCTATATGGTAAACGTGATGACTAACTTTTCTATCGTCAACTTCCCTTACTTATGCAGCAATAAAATTTCATCACCTGCATACGGAGTATATATGTACCATTTGATTCGATACGCAAGAGCATGCTCTACGTATGAACAATTCTAAAACGAGGTAAATTATTGACAAGCAAGTTGATGAAACAAGAATATCAGCAGTCTCGTTTAAAGTCATCAAGTTCTATGGTCGATACAATGACCTTGTCAGCAAATACAATTTATCATTGAGTCAAATGCTGACTGACTTTTTTCATACCTATTGTTAGTGCATTATTTATACACTGAATTGACGACGGATTTTCCTATTATTTCATGATCCTGACAAGGAGCAAACGGCGGGTGTGACCGGTCGGCAGGGGATGCTCACTCCTCCATGGCACCTGATCCCACCTCTGATGTTTCGGGGTCCGTGTTTGCTCTGCTCTTATTTTGTATTGTTTTAAGGACTTTGAGATTGAATACTGTTCGTTATCTCCATATCCTTCCTCAATGTTTTCATGAAAATATATCTTTTTTTTTTACCAAAATTATAGAGCATAGACCAACTATAACTTTAAAAATATTTTAATGACATATCTTTTCAAGAAAAAGTTAAGTCAATTAAATTCAAATTCATTTCATAAGCAGGATTTAAATGCTGCTATTCAGCAGGGCTTTGTTATATCTCATGTTAAAACAATAACAAACAAGCATTCTGAGTCCCCTACAATGTACCTTCTTTTCTCTTTAAGATGTCATTTCATGGAATCCGGTATATGAAAAGTGCCCCCAAAATGTAGTCATTTCGGCAATTACTTTTTTATGAATGAAATGGAATTATGTCTGCCCTACAAAGAAAGACGTGTTTGAATGCAATTAGACATACATGCATGCTTTGTTCACCACAGCCCATTTTACATGGTCAAAACAATTTTACATATATATAAAATGCGATAATTCCGTCAAAATCAACGAATCTTGATTTTAAAAACTACACCTTGTATTTCCTACAAATATGCATCGACTTTTGCTCCTTACTTTTTAATTAACAGAAAAGTTTACAGGGCCTGGATATCGAATATATTAAAGCTATATATGGTTTGCGCACCCGAGCTAAAAAAAAAGAACACAAGATTAATTGTAGATTTAAATGATATTTGTTATTTATGTTCAAATTCATTTTTTCACCGATTTTTAAACTTAAATATTCCCACGTTTCTTCAGTTAAATTGACTTTAAACTGTGTCTGTTATTTAATTCCGAGTTGGAAATCGATTACTGTTATAAATCTGTGATATCTATGAAATGCAATTGATTTAAATTGTGAAATTTATGGAAATGTCCTATCTTTATATAAAGTAACAAAAATCAGATTAAATTTAGTAAGTGTGAACTTATCAAAAATACGCCACATACGACTTTACTAAAGGTTCTAAATATAAGGAACCTCGATCCTTCAAAAGGCCAAAGTATGGACCATAGTACTAACGAAATGATAGTCGTAAGGGCGGACGTTTATCCTTCCCCCTAACAACGGGGTCTATTGTGTTAGAGGACAATGTGGAGAACAATAGAATAAGCAATGTAGTGACCCTGAACTAGTTATGGTTATTGTGAATGAGCACGGATATTTAAATGTTGATGAAAATGTCACTAGGTCAGGGTCACTGCATTGTCTTTCTTATTGCTCTCTCCATTGTTCTCCAACACAATATACCACCGTTGTTGGGGTGGGAGGGGGGAAGATCAACGTCCGCTCTTACTACTAATGATGACTTACTCTTACAAAATTTATTATAGTAAATTATAGTTCACTTTAGTTTACTATAGTAAATCAAAGTTCCAAGGTTTTCACCATAGTAAATCAAAGGTTCCAAAGTTTTCACTATAGTA